ATGTGGATTTTTATTTTATAATTTTTTTTTTTTTACTGAATTGTAAAGGATACATTAATCTGTAAATATAAACGTATCTCTGAGGTAAAAAAAACAACAACAACAACAACATGAAAAACTAGTAATTGTGTACAAAAATAATACGACCAACCCACTATGCTGGACTATGTAAATGAATAACCTAATTTGCTGGGTAAGGTTAGCCCAAACCTGTGACCGGGTCAAAAAACAACCCACATTGAACTTCAGAAGAAGATGATGCTGGGTACATGAATGCTGACTTGAAACAAGGTTTAGCTGGTCTGGGCTTGATGGAGGTGAAAAAGACTCAATTCATATCTCTTTAATCAGTCAAATCATTATTGTCTTATGTACAGAGTTGAATGTACCTTGGATGTTTCTGCTCAGGACTAAGACCATGTGTGTGTATGTGTGTGTATTATCAGACAGACTGTTACATGCTAGTATTATTGTTCCCTCCCCTTTTGTTATTGGTTGCTGTGTTTCTCCCCTCTGCTGTTGGGTTCTTCTTGTTTCCCGCTCTCTGCTATCTTTAAGTTTGTAGGTGCTGCTATTGGATTTAAGGCACTCTGAAGAACGAAAGAGGAGGAGTGATTCTTTGTGGAAGGAGGGATTGATGATTACATTTTTTGATTTGGTAGTTAGGGGAAGACTGATTAATTGGATAAAGGATTTATTAATGAAAAGAACAATTCAAGTAAAGGGTGGGGGAATGGGGGGATACAAAATCAAAATTTTGTCTTCGAAATCTCTGCTTCTAATATTAAATATATGGTATTTGGTTTTGGTTTTAAAAGAAAGTCACCTAATCTCGGGCTATATATGTATGGGTCTCCATTGGAGAAGGTAAAGGTTTAACAATTTTTGGGTGTTTGGTTTGAAGAGCGTATGACTTGGGCTGTGCATGTAGGTAAAATTGTGTTGAAGTGTGAAACAGTTTTGAATGTAATGAGAAGTCTGGCTGGGTGTGAGTGGGGGGCTAATAGGGAGACGATGCTGCTAATTTTTCAGGCCATGATAAGATCTGCTCTAGATTATGGGTGCTTTGTGTATGGATCTGCTTCCAAAACTGTTATGGCTAGGTTGGATGTGGTGCAGCCAAGGGCTTTGATGAATTCTTTATTTTCTGTTCTTTGTTTTTAGTTAGTTTAGAGGGTGGGGATTAGCTGATGTGTTTTGGTTTTGTTATTTTTGTTTCTTTAGCACAGCTCATTTTCTTGCTCTCTGTGGCTTATTTGAATTGTGCATAAGTTGTGTGTATATATAGCTTTAAATAAGTTGATCTGTTTATTTTCATTTATGTAAATTATAATGTTCGTATTGTAAATAAAGCGAACCACCTACTTACAGTAATTTGTTGTCTTTTCGTCATTCGCCCACAGTACTCCCCAGAGACCAAAACTATAGGAGTGTTTCATTTTTATTATGTACGTCTTCCTCATTCCTCTATGCCATCAGGGGACGTAACACAGACACATAACTGACTAAAACTGACTTTCTGTATATAAAAGATAATTTGTAAAATGTGTAAAAATGAAAGTTTAGTATTAATAATATTTTAATACTTGATTTTCCTGCTAAGAAAAAAGCTGAGATCAGAACACCCTACAATAAAACGTATCCCTGGAGAGAAGATAAAAAAAAAAAAAAAAGAGCACAGGACATTGTCTTATCCAAACTTTTCTCCTTCCTTATCTGCACATCCCCCTCTCCCTTCTCCCAGATTCAAATCACAGGTGGTGTCTATTCAAGATATCTGATAAACCTCCACTCTCCCTGGAAAACCAAGTGTAACCCTCTGGGTATGAATAGACCCAAAACAAGCCTTTTGTTCTGGTCTGGGTATTTAAGGGTAACTTTGGGAATATGTAACCAGAAAACCCCCATGCAGTGCCGTGTCTTAAACTCGGATCACACTCCACTGTGTGTCTCTGTCAGTTCTGCATTTCACTCTTAGAGTCCTCTTTGAGCAATTGACGTTATGTATTATTTCTGGAATGACTTTCCTTGTGTAATTGGCATGATACATTTTTTCCTGACAAATAAAATGTTATATTTGATTAGTCTGGACTCTCCTGAAATCATTATGACCAGTAGATTATGAGGAGGCTGGTGTAAGAGGATTTACATTCAAAGACCCAGAACCAGATATGATGAATGAAGACCCGGAGTCAGAATTATAATAAATTGAAGAAAAGTTTTAATGAAGATAGTTTGCAGTTTCATCAGCAGAAGTGCGCTTCAATACTCACACAGGAGTTCGCAGGCCACTGTTACTGCATTCAGATATCAAACACAGACATTAGAGAATACATGAAGGAACATTTCAGTAATCACAATGGTAACTTCTATAACAAAGTAAAATCTCACAAGCCTGGAGAAGTCATTCAACTCATTTGATATTTAGAAGGAAAAATATTGATTAATACCTTGATTATAATCACTCATTACATATACATTGAAGCAGAACATTGATATCAGAATCCACTGGTGCTACCGCAGATCTGTGTCCAGGATGGGTCAAACTAAAGGTGCATGTATGAATGGAGCAGTAGCACGTCATCTGAAGAGCTGTTGATTTCTGTCTATCACTGATTTGGCAAGTTGTACCGAAGTGGCTAAATAAACTACACTTTTTTGTACGAGTGAGCAATAGGAAACCGATTAAAGAGGTACTAGCAAACCCTGCACCCTCTGACCAAGATCAGAAAATCATTTCTAATTCAAAAACAAATCTAAATTTGATAATCATTTGAAATTGGAGGCAGATTAATCGTGGAGCTAAAGTAATATTGGAACTAAATTCTAATAAATTAAGTGAACTTCACTGGAGCGCTGAAGAGACATACACGCATTATACCTTCGCCCACACTGTTGGATTCATTGGGCCGACGGGTGGTCCTTGATGCATTTAAGAAATTATTTAACTATCACGTTTTAATGACTTTCACTTTCAGTGTATGTCATTTTATATATTTGTGTGCTAAATTTTGATTTGCTAAATCAGCTCTAAGATTAGCAGCATGTTATTTGCCATTATGTTTGTAGCAGTGATGTGTGGTGGCGGTTTAAAATGAGGTGTCTTCTCATTTTTTTTTTATATACTGTGTTTCAAATGTAAATGTATGTCCGTTACACTTAATTTTCCTGGTTAAATAAACATTACATAAATTCCAAAATAATAACTAAAGACTAGTAACAAATGTAAACAATGTATATTATTTGTGAACTAATGTTCAGCTTTTCTTTTTAATAGTCAACTTATTTTCAGCAGTCATCAAGCTTGTACACACTGGTCAAAGACACAAAGATGTACCTTTAATTTCCCCAAGCCGATTGCTCACTAAAGAAAACCCAGTCATCAAGTTTTCAGACCATTTCAAGTTTGATTTTGACATAACATAAATGGTGAGTTGTTTACTTACTTTTTAATTAGTCTTCCCATTAACGCCGTCATTTTCTTCATTCAGGCCGATGAGAACGTGCACAAAACGAGTGGCGGAATTTATTGCGTGAACCAATCAAATCAAATAATATCAAGCGCCGTGGAGACATTGCCTCCTCTAATGTGACTTTCCCCCATTCATTCTCAATAACCCCCCACTAAATCCACCGCACGCATTAGGCTGTCTGTTTTAGTCAATGGGGACAGAGGAGGTGCGCTTGTATCTTCACCTGCGGATGTCGCTGTTACTATAAAAACGAGTGACTTTTACACTTTACAATGTAATCATTTGTGATATTTGCGCCGTTTTAATTTTTTGTAATATGGATTATTTTTTTCTTCCAGTTTTTTGAGGAGACACTGCCTCCCTTGGCTCCTCGGAGGAAACGCCCCTGGTCTGTAGGTCTTTTACTGAAGAGCCAGATTTCTGGTTTTTGGACCCGTCTAATCTCTGAACAGACTGAGCTTCTTCCTCCGGTGTTCCTCCTGTAAACAAACAAAACTATCAGTTGCATGTTTCTACTAATGCTGTATCATTTCATTCAAACGTCTCAATGTCTTAACACATTTATGCATTTTAAATAGTAATACATAAGAGCTAATATAAATAAACTTTAATAATATAAAACAATGCCATTCAAATTTTCTTTCAGATAAACGCATATGTATGAACACACTCTCATTCAGTTCATAATGTAAGTACTGAAAAGTGTTACCTAGTGCTGTTTTCAAAGATTTAAAACTCATACAAAGATTGAGTTTATTTTTTGTGCTTGTATTCTCAGAGTTTATATTTGAATATAAGGTATATTTTAGATTTTGCAGTACAGACATCACATCATCAGATACATTAACGTATTCTGATAAAGACAGTAAAATAGTGAGGCTCTTCATGAGGATCTCTCACCTGATGATGACGGGGTTGTTCCTGTTGATTTCACTGATTCCTGAGGTTTAGATCCCAACAATCCACCAAAGAAGTTTATACCAGCCGTGAACCAGCCTTCCCTGTCTATGCTGTAATGAGGAATCAGAAAAGTGATGATCAGTGATGGGTGAAACAAGTTGCAAAATTATACTATATGAATGAATGACTGCATGCTATAAGTTAGTAATTTGCATAAAAACACTCCCAAATTATCTCCTCTGCAGCCTTTCTTCACACTCAGCAAATTTATCATGCTCTCTAAAGATGTGCTCACATTTTTTCATAAGTTTAGAATACAATTAAGGACGAATTGATGCAAATGTTCACAAACAAACCGTGTTTCAAGAAGATTTACACTATGCACTATGGTTAGTGAATGGGAATATTTGTTAAAATATAATGCATTTTAAACATGATTTATACTGATATGAGTTCTAGCGAGTCAGTGTAAAGGAGAAAATGCTGATGAGTGTTTAAATGTGTTAAATTTGATTTGATTTGTGTTAATACTAAAGCAATTAATAAAGCAGATATTGTTTCATAAAGCTGAGTTTGCACAGTATCAGAGGGGAAAAGCTCTATTTTAAACCACAAAGAGACATGTACTCACCTCAGTTTACAGCTTGAGTCTTGTAGCACGTCACTGAGCTTCTTCCCGGAGTCATCTATTTTATTGTTTCTCAGATCAAGCTCTTTTAAAAACTGCAGTGCTTGTGTTTTAGACAAAGACTGAGTTAAAGCAGAAACATCTGTAATGCCACAGTCGTTTAGGCTAGAAAGAGACAAACAGAGAGATCATCTTACTGTGACCAGATCACAAACATCTAAGGTGAACAATGTGAATGTTTAATGAGATATTAAGTAGGGATGCACCGAAACGGTTTTAGAGGGTCTAAATCAGTGACTGAAACAGAAGTTTAATTAGCACTTCTCCCATGGCACGCTTTGTGTTCAGCGTCTATTTCATGCACACAACGTGGACAAGATACAGTTAAACATGTCAGCTGTGTGGACACTAGCTCTGGATTGACAATATTAATTTTTTTTCATTTAAATCGGTATTGATATAGTTTCCTAGATCTTAAATCTTTGAGTGTGTGCTGTTTTCTGTTTATGGTTGAACAAAACTTTTGTATTTAACTTTTTTGTATTTGTTGCATGCCTGCCATCCAATAATGTGCACATGAACCGATCATCTCGTCTTTACTAGTTACAGCACAAAATAAACATGGGTGAACACCAGAAGGTATGTTAAAAGATACATTACAACTTTATTGAAATTAATCCTGTCTAATGTAAGTCTCATGTAATCCTTCAGTGTATCAACCGGGGAAAAACGTCAATAAAACAGCTTGTAGGTTATGTTACTTTTACCTTAAAGGTATAGCGGAGGATTTTCTTTTTCCGGGTGGGTAGCCTATACTATTGGTCCTCCTAAGTGTCAATCATTCTGGTGATATGTTTACGTAAGGCCGTCGTACGTGCTCGTCCCTATGTAGTTTTCGCTTTCTGCGCATGCGCACTTTCAGGTGTATTATGTGTGATGAGTTACAGTTTCAGTCATTCCTTTGAAAATGGCTGAGGGTCGAAAGAGAAAAAATGTATACGAAGTGATAAGAAGAGAAAGGCCGCAGAATATAGAAACAAGACCAGAGTGATTTTGGGTGAATATTTCACACGCTGGCGTGCGCTAAAAGCACATGGGCTTCCCACTGATGCCGCAGTCGCGAAGATTCTACTAGACAGGTAAAGTTTGTCATGCTATTTGGAGAAATCCATTTAAAATCACTGCTAGTAAAAGTTAATGTAAGCTATGACACGTTTAATAGGCGTTCCCTCTTTTGGGAGCAAATAGAGTGTTGCGCATGTGCATTTTAAAAAAAAATTGGAGAGGGTGGGTCTTCTCTAAAATTCGGTAAGATCCTCCGCTATACCTTTAAGAAAGCTGTTCAATGTCCATAAACTCATAAACTTAGATAACTCTAGAGAAGAGCATTTTGATAAATATATGCACTGTTTTACATATTCATTATATTTGTACTTAAATAATATAATGAAGACATCACAAAAAACAGGTTATGTTTGAATAAATCTGTCATGAAAACAAGTTAATTTAACCCTCTGGAGTTCTTCGTTTTCCAGTCACACTCAAGACCTTCGCGGTCAAAAGTGACCGGACCCCTGAAATCAATTTTTATTTTTTTTCAGTAAAATCAATTAAATTTATTTTTGTTCAATAATATTTTTTCTTTTTCTTTTTTGTGTTTTGAGAGAATTTTATGAAAATAATTAATATTTATGCAATAATTATGATCAATTTTTTCCCATTGAATATAATAGAAAATTTATATATATATATTATTTTTATTATTTTTTAATTAATGCTGTATTTCAGGTTAAAGTGGATCCTTGGCCTATAGAAAACATTTTTTTAAATCACATTGGAGCCATCTGGTGGATGTAGTGAGCATAATTATCATGCAATATCATATTTTAACCACTAGATGGATTTACAGCCTCTGTAGAAAGGCTTGTGAATTCTAGTTGTTTTTGCACATATTTGCCTATTTTTTTCAGGTTGTGGATTTTAATTTATAATAAGTGATTCTCAAAGACTATTTTTGTCAAGTTTTTTGTTTGTTTGGTTGTTTTATTTTATTTTTAAAAAATAAAATAAAAATTATATTCTTTTCGCATAGACATGAAAATCACTATCCAAACTTAAATGGTTGTAATTCAAGAATGCTTTGGAATATAGACATATGGTTGGTCTTGTTTTAAAGAAGACATTTGCCAGATTATTGTAGAAGTGAAAGAAATTATGAAAGTGAAACAGAAAAAAAGTTATGAAAGTTTGAGTTAATAAAAATGAACAATGTAAAATTTTTATTATTTATATTTTATATAAAATATATATATTATAAAATATATTTTACTCTAAAACTGCAAGAAAATGAAAGCCAAAAATCTTAAGAAGTTGTGTTCCAAAATTTAGGTTGATATCTCAAAAAATAAGCTTTCAGTCAAGATTTTATTTTGGCGCATACCAAACTTTTTCACTAGATGCATGGAACGCCAAGCTTCCTTACTGACCATATAAGGGCGCCTCCATTTTCATATATGTTTTGAGTGATCTGAACCATGTATTTCCATAATTTTCATACAATTTATGAAGTAGACATCCTATTCAGAAGTAGTATGGGTGGTTTGACAGTATTTGATTTGAATTCAACCTCTAATAAACACATCAAAAGAGCACATATGTGCTGCAATAGGCCTGGAGGTTACTAGGGAAGAATTCCATCGTTTGATCTTACACTGTGTGTGTGTGTGTGCGTGTGTTCAAGAGAGAGAGACATAGTGTGTGACCTTTGCATTTTGGACCCAATGTCTCCCCTTTATTTGATTCATTGATTTGATTTCACATATTCTCACATTTCTCTGTTACAGTTTCACCAGTCTCATATTTCCCTATGTGTGTGTGTCTGTGTGTGTGTGTGTGTGTGAGCATGTCTATTTTGCAACCTTGATGGCTTACAGTCTCATGCTTTCATATCTGTGTGCTTTTTATTCCTTACATTGATGAATAATTGCTTTTATTTCACACATTTCCCAAAATTAGCTTTTGCAATGACACACGTTCATTTGTGTGTGCGTGTGTTTTTGTGTGTATAAGTGTGTGTGTGTGTGAGTGTATTTGTCTGTTTTGCACTCTTGATGTTTTAGAGATTCACCCCTTCGCTGTGTTATGCTTTTTTTCTGCATCGTGGCTGATTTGTAGATTGTACGCACAAAAAACCTCTGTATTTTCATATTTTTGCCATTTTCCCATTCATATCCTATGGCCGGTCATTTTTGACCGAAGGCCATGAGTGTGACTATTTTTTTTACGACCACTTAGACTTTTCAAATCATGTCCCCAATTTTTTTGTGTGTTCATATACTAAGTACCATAAAAGTCACCAAGTTTCGTACCATTCCAATGAAGCTACGATTTTTAACATTTTTTTATTTAAAAAATTCCGGTCGGAAACGACCGAAGAACACCAGAGGGTTAAAAATTAAAAATGTCTATTAAAAAGTTGATTTAAAACTCGCCGTGCAATTTAAATGTTTGTAAAACTCAGATTTATCTTGTTTGTACAACTCAATTTTATCTATTGGAGTGTTGGTTATTAAATAAGTTTGATTAATTAATTGATTATTCATTTCCAATTTATATGTCTGTTTCAGTTTTTGGCTAAATGCATCCTGAATTTTTTTTTCCGGTTTTGACGCAGAATTTTCAATTCAGTGCATAATATTAAGTATATAAAGTGTCTTATTTTAAATTGTTGAAGGTGAATATTACCCACCTCAATCTCTCCAGTTTACAGTGTGAATCCTTCAGTACGTCACATAACTGATTCACTCCTGTGTTTTCTACTTTATTCCCACTCAGTTCCAGCTCTCTCAGGTGTGATGGGTTTGATTTCAGAGCTGAAGTCAGGAATAGACACTGTTTCTCTGTAATACTGCATCCACACAGACTGAAGACAGAAAGAGAAACAACAATGAGCCAGATTCAGTAAAATGCATTGCTAAACCCACACTTAATACAACAAATAGACAAAAGAAGGTTTCATCAAATGTACAGTAGATTAAGATATTAAGAACAATTAATAATTTTAATAATAAATTCATTTGAAAAATTAACATTTTCATATTCTATTTTCAAAATTTAAATGTGAGAAAGTCATGAATCATGAAGTGCCGTTTATAATCCCTAAATACAAATTTTGCTAAGTTAGCATTAAACTGACCATTTTTTAAACGATTTTTATCACTGAATTATGGCATATTTCAGAGTGAAACTGTCTTGTCTTGTCTTGTCTTGTCTTGTCTTGTCTTGTATCTTCCACCATACTTGGGACAGATTACTTGATTTTTGTCTGTTGTTGATTGGATGGAGAAAAATGAGCAATGTTTACTCTAATGAAGGCAGCTCTGAATGCAGTTGGGCTTAATGGAAGTGAAGTGCATGGATTTATGTATAAGTCATAGACGTCAAGTGAGCATATCTCAGAAAGATCAAGTTTTATCTAAAGATTACAATGGCAACTTATGGTTCATCCACAATAAGTGCAGTAATATGCACTAATAAAATGAACATTTTGTATAATTACATTTTTGATACCAACTTTAAACTAAACACTGAATAACACGGTATCTGCTGTTAAGTATATTGTAACTTACTCTAGTTTTTCCAGCTTGCATGATTTTTTCATCAGTAGATCACTTAGGTTTTTCACTCCAGATTCTCCTAGTTCATTCCCACTCAGGTTCAGCTCTCTCAGGTGTGATGGGTTTGATTTCAGAGCTGAAGTCACAGCAGAACATCCTTCATCTGTCATTTTACAGCCTCTTAACCTATATTGAGAGAAATGTGACATTCAAATACCAAAACAATTTTTTTCCAGGCTTTGGTTTTAAACTATATAAGTGATTTTAAGCATTTTGTGCCTCTTTAAGCCTACACTCTTAAAAATAAAGGTTCCAAAATAGGGGTCATAGAAGAACCATTTTGGTTCCCAAAAAAACTTTTAGTGAATCGTTCTAAAAAGAATTTTTTTTTGAACATATTAATAATCTAAAGAACCTTTTTCCACTATAAATAAACTTTTGTGGGACAAAATGGTTCTTAATGGAGTCAATGACGCAGATAAAGAACCATTAAATTTCACAGAATGATTATTTATCTTACACAAACCTTTCTCAAAGTTAATACATTAGTTTTAAAAATATTTTTGAACTGACACTAGGTGGAATGAGCGGCCAAATCATCTAAGGTTTTTTGGGAACCAAAATGGTTCTTCTATGACCCCTATTTTGGAACCTTTATTTTTAAGAGTGTATGTGAATGTTCCTCACCTTAATCTCTCCAGTTTACAGTGAGAATCCTTCAATATGTCACATAAGTGATTCACTCCTGTGTTTCTTATTTCATTCTCACTCAGGTCCAGATCTCTCAGGTGTGATGGGTTTGATTTCAGAGCTGAAGTCAGGATGAGACACAGTTCCTCTGTAATACGGCATCCACACAGACTGAAGACAAAATAAAAAAAAACCTTTAGACATTACACTGTAAGTCTTAATGCACAGATCCAATCTTTTGACCATATCAGTTTTTTTGGCCCGCCTATTTACATTCATTTTAGACAGGACTGGTATCCAATATCTGTTGGATACCAGTCCTGTCTAAAGTGAATGTAAATAATTAATACATTTATTCCTGCCCAAAATGATTTTCGGTGATCGTTTTACTATGGTAGACCCTGGTTTTGAATGGCCGTGCTATTAAAATTATTTATATAATTCATGTCGGTTGGTCATGATTATTTGAGAAAGAGAGAGAGCGTTAATAGTAACGCTTGTTTGATAGTAACTCTCTCTCTCTCTCTGTGTGTGTGTGGCTTCAAAGGCAGAGACAAATCAGTGTCGTACTTCATATATGTTGTTATCCTTTTAATATTACGGTCTTGTTCAAGCTTGGCGTCAATAGTTTCCACAGAGCATTGGGTTGAAGCTTGATTCATTTTAATACATTTTATTGTGGAGAAAGGGAATTAGACTCCCTCAGAGGAAAATGATGATGACATAGTATGGTCAACTAATTAAATATTTTAAACCATGTGAAATACTCACTGAAGTATGTTGAGTTTACAGTGTTTATCCTGCAGTAGAGCAGCGATCTGATTCACTCGTGTGTCTCCTAGTTTATGTCCACTCAGATTCAGCTCTCTCAGGAGTAACGGGTTTTTACCCACAATTCCTCTCACATACTGACAGCCTTTATCTGCATCAGGACCCAAAAACCTGCAGAAGGGAAGATGAAAGCAGGATTCAATTCAGTTATGAGACATTTATGGTATAATGGAAACTATAGAACATATTTATTAAACCTCTTGAAATCATTTAAACAAATTTAGAAATATATTATATTATATTAATATGCTTGCATATCATATGTGTTATTTCATCACTCCTCACCTCAATGTTTTCAGTGAATTGTATGGATCCAGTAGTAAATCATCGAGCTCCTTCACTCCTGATTGTCCAGGATCATTTCCTCTGAGATCCAGCTCTATCAGGTGTGAAGGGTTTGATCTCAGAGCTGAAGCCAGAGCTATATAACCTTCTTCTGTGATTCTGCAGTTTGAAAGTCTATAGAAAAGATAATTGAATTACTATATACTGAAAAAATTTTTATATTGTAAAAACATCAAATGCCTCCCTAAAAATAAATAAACACCAAATGTATTTTAAAATACATCTATTTCATACCAAGAATAAATAACACTTAATAATAATAATTAATAATAATAATAGTCTTTACAAACAAATATCTTGGTTAGTGAGGCACATACAATGTAAGTGAATGGGATACAATATTGAAGGCCATAGGGTCAGGCCTCAAAACACTGAACTGGACTAGATACAAAGAGCCACAGTATGAACACAAAGAGCTCTGAGACCACATTCCTACTTCAGTGGACCAAATAAGGAACATAGTAATTTTTCAGGGGCAGTGTGAACGCAAAGAGAACTGGGTCCTTTTTCACTTGGTTCACCTCTTGGTCTACTTAAAGGAGTCTGAGTTTGGCACTTTTAAAGAGGACTCAAGTGTGAAAACACCCTCAGTATACTACAAATCCATTAATATATTTACTGACATATCGCTTGAGACTTACTGATATAAATATTATAATTAAACATTTCTTAATATTAAGCCTAAAATGTGTTTTATTATCACTATTAGTAATGATAGTATGATCAATGTATAACATCAGTCTTTAAATGCAAGATATTCAAAGTGCATGTCTTTTCTTTAGTTTACTAATAATAAAATATTTAAACTTTGACCAGAATATAAATTCATTATTAAAAATAAACAGTGGTTCATTTAATCACCTGAGTTTCTCCAGTCTACAGTTTGCATTTTCTAATGCTTTCTGGAGTTTCTTCACTCCTGAATCCTGCAGATTATTGTTGCTCATGTCAAGTTCTTTCAGACTGGAGTTTGATCTCAGGACTGTAGCGAGAGATGAACAGCTTTCCTCTGTTAGATCACAATTACGCAGCCTACAATGTTGAAGAGGAGAGAGAGAATTTACAAACACAAAGTACTTGATGCCAATATGATTACTGAGGATTATTGTGTTATGGTTACCTGATTTCTGTAAGATACTTTAGATATAAAATAATAAAAGAACACAATACTCACATCAGTGTGTTTAGTTTACAGTGTTTATCAAGCAGCAAAGGAACAAGATTCTTCACGTTTGAGTCTCCTAGTTCACCACCACTCAGATTCAGCTCTCTCAGGAGTAACGGGTTTTTACCCACAATTCCTCTCACATACTGACAGGCTTGATCTGCAGCAGGACCCAAAAACCTGGAGACAGGCGTTCATTAAATTGCCAGTAATGTCAATGACATACAGTATCTAAGTGCCTTCAGTCATTTCCAAGACACCATTAAACAATTTTTTATGGTTAAAATGTAAACACTCAGCTAAAACTGTTTTAAAACTACTGGACTGTATTTTAAAAACACTCACCTCAGTGTCTTCAGTCGAGACTTCAGATCCTGTAGTAAATCATTGAGCTGCTTCACTCCTGATTGTCCAGGATCATTTCCTGTGAGATCCAGCTCTATCAGGTGTGAAGGGTTTGATCTCAGAGCTGAAGCCAGAGCTTTATAACCTTCTTCACTGATACTGCAGTCTGAGAGTCTAAACACACACACACACACAAAAAAAAAAGTGAAATAAAATGAACATTGTGGATCCAATTTATTAATTAGCTGAATCGCTTATCAGATACACGGTAAACCACATTCTGTCATTAATGTCCAAGTTGATTAATGAAATACAATTAAATAATGGTCACCAGGAGCCTCACTGTTGTGAGATCAAAGACTCAATGAACTGATGCCATGTTAAATCTGAAACAATCTATGCCAACCACAAGCCTTAAAGACACTTGTTTGTTATCATTTGTTAAGTTGACATTATTTTAATTGTTAAGCCACAGGAGAAGTGGCTCCCCCAGTGTAGCCTGGTTTCATTCAAAGTATTTGTCTCCTGCTACAACCATATTTAATGCTTTTTCATTCCTTGCCACGGTGACCTCTGGCTTGATCACTGGGGGATTAATGCAACATGTGGTGACTTTCCAGAAGCTCCCAGTTTAAACTACTTCGAGGTCGGGACGTTTTAGGACCAAAATCTTTCATTGTCAACAACAGTAATAATACATGTAACAATCTACATGTCACAATCTGTTTAAAATTAGAGATGTTACTAATTGAAATGAAATGCATTCCCAGTATTTTCTCTTAAATTACTGCAAATTTGAAAAATGGTAAACTCGCATCAGACTAAGAGATCCTGCTATTTTCATCATAAGGCAATAGATCATATGTTTGTATGCTTTTAGATAAATCTTTACAGTTGCTAAGACAAACAACAACCAATATTTAAATCTTTTAATAAAACAGGTAACCAAAATATATTAATCTCTTAATTACCTTTGAACGCTGTGTACCCAAGTCACTGTTTGTGCTGAATAATACAATAAAGCTAGATCTGGTTTGTGTAGCTGATGGTAAATGTACTCACTTCAGTATCTTCAGTGTTGATTTCTTCAGTCCCTGACAGATCTCTTTGACTCCGGAGTCCAGTAGACAGCAGTTGTTCAGGTTCATCTCTTTCAGGATAGTATTTTTGGAGAGAACAGTAGATAGAACTGCACAGCTTTTCTGTGTCATCTCATAATTATTCAGCCTAAACAAGAAGGCCTTATTTATTATTCTTGTTTTCAGCAACTAATCAACACACATCAGTTCATAATATGTTCACACAGTGTCAAAAAGTGCTATTAACTGTAGCACTTCAGAAACTCTTGCTGTCTTCAGAAACTAATGCATTAAATATATTAAAGGTTGGATGACCAGTAATATCCTTCTCTTAAATAAGTTCCACATTGATTACAAAATACTGCTACTTATAAATGCCACAAGGTCACAAACTCTGATCTACAGGTAGTATCAAAAATATCACCACAAAAGGAGTCCACAAAAAAAGAACCTTTTGGCATTTGGCACTTAAACTCTCAAAAAGTCTACTTGGCAATGTACGAGGAATCAGACACACCTCTGTTTAAAACTAAATTAGAGACATCTCAATAGTCAACTATTTACTTAGCTTTTCTTACTAATTGATTTATTAATCTAATTATTACTAACTGATTTATTAATCTAATTATTATGTGTGATAGAACCATAACAGATGTTAAATTCAGCCTTAAAATATATGCTAATATTTTTCATGTTGCTTTCTTTGTAAGCATCTCTAATACTGCCAGCTAAAACCTGCTGCCTGCACTGTCCAGACAAAGAGGGTCCAGCTGCATCAACTCCTAGTCCTCATTTTGCCTGTTTAATGAATCACATGACCTGCATAACATTAGAGATATTTATTTGTGTCATAAGGACATTCATTTGTTGCCAAAGGAGGATGGGCTTCCCCAGCTGGGTATGATTCCTATATGAAGGATTTTTGCTCTTCAATACCTCACTGTTAAAAATTGACATATTTTCTGTAAAGCTGGTTTGAAACAATGAGTATTGAGAAAAGGATATACAAATACAATTATTAAAGGCATGGACACATTTAATGTTCAGCAAAAGTTTGACACACAATCCAATCATTTCAACGGGAATCAGCTTAATAACTTAGCAAAGTAAAACTAAAGAACAACAACGGATGAAACACTGACTCTGGGAGTGTCAGTTTTGTATAACATTACTCCAAGATTATAAAATGATCCATAAAAAAGGCTGTTTGAAAAGGAGTTAATGTTTGACCTGCAAAACTTCACAGAGCTACGGTAAATCTCCACACAGCAAAGTTATAATGTACAAAATCATGTTTACTCACTTTATTTTATCCACTTGGCAACAAGAGTCCACCAGAAATGCAGACAGTTTCTCCCAACGTTGATGATTTAGTTCAATTCCGCTCAGATCCAGTTCTGTCAGCTGTAAGGGATCTGTTTTTAGAACTTCCGTTAGATACGTACACGCTTCCTCTGCAGCAGCATTTGTCAAAAAGCTACAGAATGTAGAAAAAAATCTAGATTAGAAATTTTTCTTATAATTTTGTACATTTTACATCATCCATCCTCTTTATGTGTGCAGAGCAGTATTAAAATAGTAACAGGTGTAGTATCTGGTTGAAGTCTGAAGTTATGATAATTCTCTTTTATACCCTTGAGTGAATATTTATAATAAATAATAAACAGGGAATACATAAGCAATGTCAAAATAATGTAGTAATATATGTTTTTACATAGTTCTAAAACTTAGCCTAGTTCTAGTTCAAAACTTGTGTCACACAGTATATGGTGTTGAAAAACTTCGAATTGCAATGTTGTTCCAGCTTATTTGTCTTTTTAGCACTCTTAAATATTCTTAACACTCCTGACTCCATCTGTGGCTAATTTTCAAATATTTGAAGGCTTTTATCACCTGATGTTCTTTAATTTAGACCATCCACTCCGCACCATATCTTTTAACATCTTTACTCCTGATCGTCCAGGATAATTTCCTCTCAGTTCCAGCTCTTTCAGGTGTGAGTTTGATTTCAGAGAGGAAGTCAAAATCGTATAACTTTTTTCTGTGATACTGCAGTCTGAAAGTCTGTATGAAAAGAGGCGTATATTATGTACTGCATGTTCATAGGATATAACAAATAAAACCTATTTAAAAAAAAAAAAAATGTGGCAAAATATGCCTATTTGCAAAAAGTTTCGCCCCAGAGATATACATACATCAAATGCCTTAACATCCGCTTAATTTAAATTTCTAATTTCTTATAATATTAAATATAGCATATGTAAGTATAGCCTTTTTAGCTTTCTCAGTTAATCTAATCAAATGGACATTTACAAATGAATATTAATAAGAAGAAATAGATCAATTAAAATACACACTTCAGTTTCTCTAATCTGCATTGTGTATTTTCCAACAGGCAACAGATATTGTCAATTCCAGAGTCTCCTAGTTTATTTCCACTCAGATCCAGCTCTATCAGGTTTGAAGGGTTTGATTTAAACGCTGAAGTCAGAGCAGCACAACCTTCTTCTGTAATACTGTTATTATTCAGCCTGAAGAGAAACAAAACAAAGACAAAAAGATTGTAAACCTTAAATGTTCTAAGGGGGGTTCGGTTTAAAGGTTTTCAAAGGACGCAGCAAGCGGTGTAATTGTTGTGCCACATTCTTTCGTAGTAGAAGCGTTTTGTGCAGTCGAAGCGGTGCTCACATTATGGTTTTGGAAATGTTGCCATAGTCACAATCAACAACGTCATTGCACCTCATTGTCAAACCTTCACATATTTATTTATAAATAAAATAATAAAATATTAACAAAGCCTAGTTCATATATTACTTAAAGGCAGGGTAGGCAATTTGTTTCAGATTTTTTTTTTTGCAATGCTGGTTGAAAGTCTTCACATCCTGATAGCAATCACTAGGTTAAGTGATCTAAGTAAGCAATAAGGAATGAGAGGCTGTGCTGTATCGTGAATAAGTCATGGCTGAAGGGCGTTGTTAGGCACGACGCAAAGCGGAGTACTTCGATATCATACTTTATTTTATAACCTCGTACCTGCTTTTATAAAACCGTTACGACAAAATGCAAATATTAGAGCCGGAAAATATGTATCTCTATGCAACTTTCATGAAGTAAAATCACTAAAAGCCTTCCTTCCACTGGAAAAAATAGTCCCTGACCGTAAACAGCAACAGAAGTGTATACATTATTTCGCCAATAGATGGCGGAAAAGACAGTCTTTATGAGTGAGTAAGTCAGTAGAAAAGACTTTTACATTGAAATGACTCAAACTTGTGATCACAGACGCAACTGACAGATGGAAAACCCCTTAACTGTTAAAAAGACAAGATGTCTCAGCGGACATTCAAACTGATTTTTTAAATTATAAATATAGGACTGACCTGAAGGAAAATGCTATGTCTGCTGTATAAATGCAGGTACACTCGCTTACTCGATCTCTCACAATACTCTACTATAGCTTCAATGAATGTGTTTAAGTTGCTAAGAGCGGTTGCTAGGGGTGTTGTGTAGTGATACATAGAACCATTGGGTGAAGCGGTCATAGACGTGTTTTATCATGAAAAAAAAAAACACAGCTATTGACCAGTCAGAATCAAGGATTGGAACTAACCGTTTTATAAATATATTTTTATATATAAATATTTATAATTTATTTTACAATAAAATGTTTGGCCAATCATTGCATTCAGTCCAAATGATGTCCTACCTGCCTGTCAACATATTTTCATTCCTCCACACACCTGCAAGCGCAGACATCCCTCGTCATCATCGCGCTTCATGCTATTGTAGAGTTAGACAGACAGTCACTGACTCGAGCACCGCAACCGAAACAGCAGCCGCCTTTTACAGTTCCTCCTGAACCAAAACCACGAGCTTATGCTGCGTTCACACCATAACTACTGTCATTTAGAAGAGATGGAAACCCGTGGCATTAAACTCAGAGTGGTTTGTTTCTCGAATATATGCATTTCAATGCCAACACTATCAATGTTTAGAAACGCTCTTTAAATCAAATCAGATATTAGTCAGATTAAGAAGTTGAATCATAATCAGTTGATAATATAGACAAAAGTGATCATAAAATGAGGGGGATCATGCAATTCTGAAAATTGTCTCCATGTTTTTAGCTCTAAATGAGCTCAGTGAATTTTTTAATAATCATTTAAAAAAACTTTTAATCAAAAGCCATGCTAGTGATTTGCACATCACCTCTGCTACACTAGTGAAAGTGTTACTGCTTTTCTCAATGTCTTCCATTGAAAATGAACGAGACTTTCTTAACTGCTGCGACCCATGTACATCCTGGTCCGGAAGTGGGTGTATTTTTGCTTTGATAAATAAATACATATAGATGAATACGTTCCGAACATACAATAACGTATGTGATACCAACATACGTTAATCTAAACCAGTCATTAAAATACAATACAAAACAAATGTTATAATTGTAAGATATTTTAAAGGGATATTTCACCCAAAAAATAAAAAAATTCTGTCATCAATTACTCGCACTCAAGTTGTTTAAAACCTGTATAATTTCTTTCTTGTGCTAAACACAAAATAATATATTTTGAAGAATGTGGGTAACCAAACAATTTCTGGTCCCCATTGACTTCCATAGTATTTTTTTCTTTATTATGGAAGACAGTAGGGACCATTCCTTCATGTTCAAGAGAAGAAAGAACCTCATACAGGTTTAGAACAACTTGAAGTTGAG